GGAACGGCTCGGATCTTGGCTGCCGTGCGACTATCGGCGAGCTCTGAGCAGGGTGAGCTCAAGTTTGCAGGAGTGAAAAGCAGCCGCCGGTTCATGTTGTTTTCGACCCTATGCAACAAACTTTTTTTGTGGGACGCTACGGCTCCAGAAATCCTTACGGAGGTCAAAGCCTCACGCACACTGAACATGTTAGCGGGCTTCGTCACATCCGAAAGACGGCTATGTGCGTGGTGGAAGCAGGACAGCCTAGTGGGACTGTTTGACGCCTCCGACACAACCGTGAAAGATTTGCGCTGTCCGAGCTGCGTAACCTGTGCGGTTTTCTGCTCTGATGGCGCCCGCGTTTTTTGTGGCCAAGAGGAAGGCACCGTGTCGATATTCGACGTGGTCCAGTGCAATCTCCTTCGCTCCTGTTCCAACTCAAGCCACCGTGCAATTGTGTCGATAATCCTCTGTGAGGACAAACAGGAAATGGCGTGTGTCGAAAGTTCGGGAGATGTGAAATTATGGAATGTTCCCTCCGAAACGCCAACACTGGTTAAAGAATCCTTCGCAGGGAGCAAGTTCAACAACATGCTTAATATTGATTACTCTGATGAATTCGACAGTTTATTGGTATGTCATGGTAACCAGGTCGCAGTGTGGGATACGTGCGAGTGGGAGAAGTGTGACCGCTTCTTGGCTCCGCGGGGTCAAGCTTTCGTTCAAGCAATATTCTCCAAGGGTGGACACCATTTTCTGGCTTTCCTGGAGGCCTCTCCCCTGGTGTTGGTGTGGAGGGTTAACACGGGGCAGTGTGTTCTCTCCTTAGAGGTCCACACTACCTCACACACCCTCCTCAAAACCACCTCAGACATCGTGTGCGTCACTGACAACGGCTGTCTTCTTGCGTGGGATTCCAAAATGGTTTTCCTTGCTGGTGAAACTCCCAAAATGGAATGCGGGGTCAAAAATGTGGCGGTGGACCAAACAGGAAGATGCTTCTACACTTCAGACGGGACACGTACAGTGTGGAGTTGGAGCTTAGAGACGGGTCTTCCGCATGCTCACTTCCTGCACGGTCATCCTGTGAAAAAGATACGTCTTAGTCGGGATGACGTGACGCTTGTGACACTCTCAGCTGAAGATATTTACATTTGGCATCCGGAAACTGGGCAGAATATCCTACGGATAGGTGGGGGCGGAGCTACAGATGTTCTTATTACACCCAACTGTCACTTTGGCGTTAGTATTTGTGAGCTAGGACTCTCTAAGGTTTGGAGAATGGCACATGGGGGTGTCGTATGCGGGATTCACCTGCACCTTTCGAGTGCACAGGTGTCCGCCGAGAGCACCTTTCTCATTGGCCTGCACAGTGGAAACCTGCTGGCTGCCAGTTTGTGGTCAGGCACAATCAGCAAAAGCTTCCGTCGAGTTGAAAGCTCGGAAGATGTCGTTGCTTTCGGCACACTTTCTCAGCATGCCGATTTTGTGGTCGTGGTGGTCGCCTCGGGGGCAATCTACACATGGAAAATGTCCGATGAAACGGTGTGCAAGCACTTTCAGCTGCCGCCGACATTTGGTGGAAACCTGCTGGCTGCCAGTTTGTGGTCAGGCACAATCAGCAAAAGCTTCCGTCGAGTTGAAAGCTCGGAAGATGTCGTTGCTTTCGGCACACTTTCTCAGCATGCCGATTTTGTGGTCGTGGTGGTCGCCTCGGGGGCAATCTACACATGGAAAATGTCCGATGAAACGGTGTGCAAGCACTTTCAGCTGCCGCCGACATTTTACTGTCAGCCGGAAAACTTTCGCATGACGTCAGATGGGAGCTTTGCATTGTTGTCCATCGATAATGAAGCTATCAACCTCTTGGACGTGTCTCAGGTCAGACTTTGCTCTCTTAAAGCTGACGGTTCTGTCATGAAAGCCTGCTTGGATGAAACGGGACGTTACGTCGCTTACATATCACAGCGTAGAAGCCGATGTGGTGCTTGTTCCCAGCACACACGTGCCATTCTCACTGTTGTGCAACTCTCTGACGGAGAAAAAGTAGGCAGGGTGTTTCTGCGTAAGGATCCGTTGACGCTGCTCATGCATGGACAGCAAAGTGCGTTTGTGGGTTTTCAGGATGGGTCAGTAGGGGTGTATTGTATTTCAGGTCCCTTGACAGGTGAGGAAGATGCACGCGGATGCGGCAAAAAATTGGGGGGGAAGTTGAAAGGCTGTTGTTGCAGTGCAGGGCCACTGAGGTGGTTCCCTCTAGAAGCTCCCAATGTTACGTGGCCTTCGCGAGAGCAACGAGGAACTTCATAGGACAATGATGAATTTGAGCAGACCTCCGGATTTGTGAACAAAATTGTTGGGAGGAAAAAAAGTATTTCAGGTCCCTTGACAGGTGAGGAAGATGCACGCGGATGCGGCAAAAAATTGGGGGGGAAGTTGAAAGGCTGTTGTTGCAGTGCAGGGCCACTGAGGTGGTTCCCTCTAGAAGCTCCCAATGTTACGTGGCCTTCGCGAGAGCAACGAGGAACTTCATAGGACAATGATGAATTTGAGCAGACCTCTGGATTTGTGAAAAAAATTGTTGGGGGAAAGAAAAAATCTAATCAAGGAGCACATTAGTTGTGTTTGTTTGTAACCACATTGTGGGGAGTGATACTTTGAATAAAAACAATGCGCTCATAAAAGAATGAGGCAGTCGATGGCAATGAATGGATCTTATTGCAAGGCCACACAAACACACAAGACATTGATGAACGTCAACAAGAGGGAGCTCTTGGGCCATGTCTTTGATGAACTTTTGGTGCCCCAGTCCAACTTGTTCATGTACAACGAGAGCATCCATACTGGCCTGGTTCCATCCATAATTAGGACACACACTGCTGAATATGGGACATACTTTAAGTTTTGATACCTTTGCTCTTTCTTTTTACAAAGATTGTAACCACATTGTGGGGAGTGATACTTTGAATAAAAACAATGCGCTCATAAAAGAATGAGGCAGTCGATGGCAATGAATGGATCTTATTGTTCTTTCTTTTTACAAAGAAAAAAAAAGTCATATTTGTCACCGTTAAATGACATCATATATTTAAAATGTGACCTCTTCGCCTTTTCAAACACATTTTACCTCAAAAAAAAAAGTCATATTTGTCACTGTTAAATGACATCATATATTTAAAATTTGACCTCTTCGCCTTTTCAAACACATTTTACACACACACGGTGTTTACGTAATTGCATTATTAAATACTCAACTACAAAGTTGGCTTCAGTAATTTCCAGTTGACATGAACTTTAAAGTACATTCCTTAAAAAAAAAAAAAGCAAAAACACCCCGAAATAAGAGAGTCCCTGTTCAATGCCACATGCTATTAATTAATCTTTTCTTTTATTCCATCTGACTTTCAATATGAAAAGCAACAAATAATTTACACAGTTTCTTAAAAGGATATCAAAACAACATCACCGTGACTTGGTGCGATCTAACACTGCTTCACGACCTGGCAGGCAAATGTGTAATAGACATGACACAAAGCACGCAAAAGTTAAGAGTTGGACGCACAAAACCATGCCCGCAGACCTGAAGGACTACTTTTTAGTCCAGATTAAATGATGACAGGTAGACATTTGTTAGAATTGTGTGCGTGTCACTCTTTGAGTGTGCTTTTGGTTTCAGTGATTATAAAGGAAGCGTGTTCAGTCCGTCGGAGTATGTGCAGTCCGCTCAGAAGAAGCATAGACCATAACAGCGTCAAATGAACATACAGGACACATTTAAATACAGCTTTAAAAAAAAAACAAAAACAATAATTAACAGGTACTTACACAGTGTAGAAAAACTATTAAGTTGAATGTTGTTCAGACAATATCATGGTAGTACAAAAAAACAGCTATCCTGTGAGAGTTAAACGCATTAAAAACACACACTCTCTCTCTTGCTCGTTGTCGCATGTGGCGTGGTGCTCCTCCGTGCAAAGATGGAGCACGACCTAATGTTTTACTCTGACAGACCGCGAACACACGAGGGCAGCTTCTGTGCATGTGTGCGTGTCTCTTTCTCCCCCCAGTGTGGGTGCATTTATCTGATGAGGTGATAGGTGAACCAGTACATGAAAACAGGCTGGGCCGCCGCTATACACATGGTGAGGTACATCCTCAGCTGGTTTCTGGCTACTCTT